CAGTATAATCACGTTGACTTTTACCGAGAGGCTCGATACAATAGCGTCGCATTAATGAAAGAATCCGTATAGTCTTAGTTTATGAATAGGGCTATTACTACTCAACCTGTATTGTCCACTGGTGACTTTTAGGTAGTGATTCCAGTTTGACAGACGTTTCACCGATATTAAACTTTATTCGCCTTCTGTGATTTCATTCATCGAAAGATTAATATCGGTCGAATGTTGCTGTTAAGTTAAGTTTTCCTGCGGTTGCTCGGCGTTAAGGAGTATCTCGAAGCTCTCTCATGGTCGCCGATGCATGTACTCTTTCTTGGTAAGAAGGCTTGTGGGTTTTCCGTTCAGCACTCTCAGACTGCCGTTTGCTAAGTTTGGAGGTGGTGGTTGATCGGCAAGAATACCCTGTTTGTCATCTCGCGGTTTGACTCCAAAATATCACCGAAGATTCGCAGAAATCAGCTGACACTTTAACCACTGCCTTCGCAGCCGTCCTGTGCATTTCTGCATACTGCATTCAAACTGAAGGCTCGTTTCTTTTAAATTATATCTTGAATGCAGCCTTCTTCACGCTGATAGCTAGGTGGCATCGATATGGAAATTTTTTCTTGACCGTCATGCGGCATGACAAACCATCTGAAACAGCAGGATTCGTCGGAAGTCCTGAGTGAACAGTTTATAAAGAGTTTCAATTCACTTTACCTGTAAGCACTGGGATCTGTTCAAATCGCCATGAAATGTTGCATGCAAGTTTTGCCCCTGGTATCTGCGACTATGATGTTTATCATTTGATTCTTTGGTTGCTTCTGCCGCCTTGCATGGACTTGTTTTTGAAAGGTGCCAACAACAAAGTGATAATTGCTTGATAACTGCGTATCTCTTAACACGATCACTCATTACAGAGCGCAGTAGGAACTACGATACGATTATTAAATCGATTGTTAACTTCTGTGCGCAAACTTCCATATACACATTTTACTGATGCAAGTTCCCATGATCAAACAGTTCGTTACTTGCACAACATCTTCCTGCATTATTCTTGAAGTCGTAAGGACGCTCTATCTAGGGACTCCGTTCCACTTTTCAGTGTCGACTTCAATGCTACTTCAATACGCGCCTCAAAATTGTTCATCAGAATATTGGGTTCCATTGCAAGCGTTTTATCCAGTGCTTTTTCCATTTCCTCCAGAAGGGATTCATATTCTTTTTGGAGAATGGATCTATGCATGTGTACAAGGTCACGGCTTAAGCCTGCTATGCTTCAGTCGGAAATTTACCGCTTTTCCCCCAACAGGCTGTTTTCAGTTAGTTGCACGAATTTAACTGGTGCGAATTCAGCTATATTTAAATCTTGTCCTTTCGGTTCAATACTCTGCGAAGCAAACTAACGCTTAATCGGAGATTACGTGGATATTAACAATAGGAATGTCAATACAATAACCTGCGAATCATTTGTATGCCTTACCAATCCATCAGATGTGTTTGCGGGTTTGAGAGCCATGGATGGCCTGGATTTCGAAAGTTCAACGAGTAAGACATAAGTGAACTGTGGTGGTCAACCAAGGTAGAAAGCTCTTACCGTAAATGATATTGAGGTTTCGTTTTAACATGTCATAACCTACTGTCAAGAAGGCTTATCCAAAGTGAATTTGCGTAATGAGCGGCTTTTGAAAAAATGCTGTTGAGCTCAAATGGTCTGGTGATTCCGGTAGTTGTTTGGGGAAAGGAGCCGATCAGTCACCGAATCACATCTGTTTGTGCATTGCTTCACACACGGATTGTCGTAACTGGTTCTGAAGAAGGCTTTATATGTGTATGGAAGTTCGACGAAGAGTATAAGGTGAGATTTATCTTCGACGTAATATCGATTTGTTCGTTTTGCATTGAAGTTTTGCCAGCGATTTCTCTGTACAACCATTGTCCGCTTTCATTCGTTTTTCCCCCAACTTTTTCAGTTTGTTGATACACATAATAACTTCATCAGACGGTGAATACGTAGGAAAGAAAGGAAAGGAAAATTTGATACTGTTGAAATGTCAGTCTTCATTAGTTTTATGATTGGGCCATTTTTGTGCCATCAGCTAGGGATCATTTATTTTAAAGGCAGAGTCAGCAGCCATGGTGAAAATCTAGTTTGTAGTCTCCTCTCTCCTGCTCACAGAGTGATGCTGATTTATCCACCTCTAAAAGAAGAGTGAGTAACTGGTTCTTGTACTCGCTATCTATCGGTTCTGAGTTCGACGCTCTACCGATTGAACAGCTTCTCTCTGAAGCAACATGTAAATTCCTTGCTCATGTGGAATTATTTAATAATACAAAGAATGCCTTCGTGCTGAATCGAACACGGCACCTCCGGAATTCGAAACAAATCTCAGACACTGTTACAACACACCACGATACATAGAATACCTAGACCCAATGCCAGCATTTGATTTGTGTCTCAAGATGAAATTCTAGAAGGATAAACGTGACAAATCTGAACAAAGAAGAAGTTACTGGTCAAACTTATTACTTATTGAGACAGCGTTTGCTCTCTCGAACAGGTAGAGAGCGTATTGCCTCATGAGGTGTTGTCTGGAAGTACCTGTTAGTACAACTTTGGTTCATCGTTTCGCTGTTCAAGCTTCGTAGTAAAGAATAATGCGGCTATTATGGAATGGTGCCAGTACTAACATAAACCTGAGACACCACTTCAACCAGTTGGTCAGAAGAACCAATCTGGAAACTCTATTGATAGAACTCTGTTAGCCTTATATGGTTATTATCTTTCAGTTTCTAATACCTGATTCATAGTACGAAAACTGTTGCTTTACAGCAGTACTGTGGTAGTGTTAGACGGATGGCAGTCCTTTCACCGGCTTGTATTGTAACACTGCTTCACAGCTCCATGATATTTAAGTGCGTGCATTGCATAAGACCATACTCGGCGTCACGCCATTGGACTGAGCAAGAACATTTACGAGCACCAACAGAATCAGAAAGCCTTCATTTTTTAGTTACCCTAAATTGTCGGGATTATATTTTATTTGTATTTATATGACCATGTTACTGTGAAAAGTAGAACCACACTCAACTACATCTCGGTAAACGTTGAGCTGTGGATACCTTTATTTAAAAATAAGCACCACATATGGTAAGGGGAGCATGGCAAATTTGATGAGTACAAACGATGTAACGCATATACAACCACCGAGAAGGGAGGGGCAGAAACCATTTATTTCTTCAAGCTGTATACCTTTCAATGAGTGTTGAATATGTAACTGCAAAGTTGGTTAGTAGGCGGGAGGCACAGTAAAATTTCTGAAGATTATGAATATGTAAAAAAATACTCCTTGGAATGTAGAAAGGGTAACCTCACCAACTAGCGTACATTCCTGTTACTGTTAGGGCAAACTTACTCTTTTTTCCAGAGGTGCCCATCAGTATTAACATTAAAGTGGCAGAGCCGGTGTCTGTAGAGCTGTATTACGATGTAGGTGGTGTCTGGTGTTTATCGGCTGCCGAAAGCATACTTAAATATTTTTTCTGAAATAATTTACTAAGCACTGTTGACGAACTCTATCGCATAATATTTTCGAGCAGATTCTTTTATGCATTGCCTGTTAATAGCTGCAGCCGGTTCTCCTGTTGGCAGGCCACGATGGAGCTGTACTCGCCCTGTGCAAAGCACACCAGAAATCTGAGGGCGATGAATTTTTTTCGTCTGATCAGAACGGGTAAGAACACAATGTACATGCCCATCCCGTGATGACCGTTGTGAAATGCATGAATTGAGTATGCCTATTATGCAAGGCTGTGAACTTAACTTTTGAAGCTAGCCGAGCTCGTTACATTTATACTTGAAACTGTAATGCAAAGGAAAATAATATTACTAATATGTAGTGTTGGTGATGGAAGTAATGGTACTAATAGTGACAGTACTGAAAATAGGAAATGTAACATTATTTATTATACAAAGCAATATTACTTCTATGGTTAAGTGTTTGAACGATTCATGGTTCAGGGCACCAATTACTGCAAATGATAAAACAGTTTATTGCCGACGCATTTTGCTACACAGACCGTAGTATCGTCAGGGCAAGGCTAAGTACAAATGACTGCTTGAAGGCACTTTTGTCCTACAAGCGAACAATACTTTACAGTCAAAATCTTATGAAACTGACCGACCAGAATGTTGACCAACAAACAGTGTGAAGTACTCTTTAAAACAGTCGGTTTATTTTGCAGTCATCCCCCATCTTTCTCTAATAACCACCGAAGATGTATATCATTAGCACATCCGGTTTTTCATTGCCAGTACAGATAGCCCTCTTGTTACGATCATTCGACTTACGATTTTACGAAGAACAGCTGAACGTAAGCGTATGCCATATGATATTTTGGATACGCTTGGGAAGTTGTTACCGGCAGCATCGCATCACTTAACGCGTGGTCTGCCTCACTTTCAGCGATCTACCCCTTAGTGAGATAGCGATTCAAGAAATATTTACCCTTGTGTTATTTTGTGCTTAAAAATTTGCTTTTTCTACAAGAATGCCCCCCCCCCAAATGTGCTAATGTTTCTCCTGTTGGTAGTGAGAACAACAAGAGGAAAGCTGTTACCTTGGAAGATAAAACGAAGATAATAAACCAGCGAGAAGGAGAGAAACCACTCATGGCCATAGCACGGGATTTTCACTCAACAGTATCAACGATTCTCAAAGACAAAAAGCGGGTCATGAAAGCTATCAAAGGTGTTGCATGTGTGCATTCCACCGCAATATCGAAGGAGAGATCAGGACCATTAAAAGAAATGGAGAAGCTGTTGGAAGCTTGGATCGACTACAAGATCCAAAAACGCATGCCACATAGCCTTCTAACGGTACAGACAAAGACCCGTACGTTGTATGACGATGTTAAGAAACGATTCGACGATCCATTCTACAATATTTACTATATTACAAATTACAGGGTATGGGGTTTGTTAAATTTGACAAAACTATACAGCACATTATGCTATAACATTATACATTACAGTATAACTATGTCATACATTACATTGTCTTCGTCTATACCCTATAGGAAGGTCGTCCGCTACTTATGATATTTTCGTCTTACAATATGATTATCGGAACGTAACCCCACCGTAAGTCGCGGACTACATTGGTATGCAGGGATTCCTTTATTAGCAAGCCTAATTTAGATTGGTCTTTGTCTAGGGCAGGCACATTGATCTGGCTGAAAGAATGCCCTTCAGTAATCGTATGTTAGGCAATGCCAGAATTATCAGCCTGTCTAAGGCTAAGGTCCATTTTTTGCGGATATTCACTTTCCGGTTATTCTTTCCAGTGTACACCTTGTCGCAGTCTCTTTTCTGAGCTGAACTGTGTAGACAACATTAAACACATCTTCAGGCTTATTAATGGGCATGTAATTTTTAAATAAAATGTCGGCCAATGTTCTGCCGGTCTTGAAGTAGACCCTAAACCCCATGTCATAAAGGTATCTCATGATGCGTTGAGATACGTGGGGTATGAACGGTAAAATTACCATTGGTCCATTTGAACTGACTAACTTTATAATAAAGCTGGGGTGCAAAAGTTCTTCGTCAAGGATCCTCCTTCGGTAACCGTTCTTTAGAAACGCTTGGTGAAAATGTTGGATTTTTGCATTTAGGCACGAAGTGTTGGTGCAGGTCACTTGGGCACACTGATGCATTTTTCTCCTGGAAGGACACATGACCTCGGATGTAGGTACGAATTGCAGCGTGTTGATTTCCGATATAGAGAAACCTCATATTCAAACGATGGCTCTTCACCACCCCGTCCAAAAAGAATAGAGAGTGGTTAAATTCCACTTCAGCAATAAAGCGTATTCGGCCATTTTTATCCTTCCACTCATGTAATTCACATAACATTCCAACCTTTTCAGTTCGTCCTCTTTCGTTGGAGTAATGGGAAAATGTCATCAACGAATAGGGCATAGTCAGAATTCTGGCGGGCATTCCTTAAGGGCTTTCACCTGCAGGTGGTCCATATAAAGATAAGCTAAAACAGCATTCACCGGGTAATGTCATTCGGTGGTAGGTATAGTTCGAGAATATGAAATGTGCCATTCATCACAAGGCGAAAGATTTCATTAAATCATCCACGCTGCTATTTCGTACATTTCTACTATAATGGTCATTGATACTACCGTAGCATTTTATCAGAACTCGTATAATGTCTTGTAGCTGCAGATCTGTCAGCTGTAATACTGTAACTTATGCAAGGTTTCGCATGACTTTGTTCAATAAAATGTTTTCGCTATACATAATGCTACAAACCGTTTCCAAGTTGTTATAGTGTGCTCTTACTATGAGCATTACAACTATCATTAGTAATAAAAGGTACAATAGCAATAGTACTGGTAGTAGAAAATGAATTATTGTAGTTCTGCTACTTGTAGAACTCGTTTTAACCGTGCTGCTAGTAGCAACAAGCCTGATGGCAGTAGTGCCGATCCTACTGCCACTAATATTACTAGTGTAACACAAATATAATTAATAGTAGGTGGTGCAGTTATAATGTATCTTGTAATGCTGTTTCTATTGCTGCACTTTTCACTGCTGGTAATATTTCTGTTAAAATTTCCAGTACTGTTACAGTTTCAACTGTTTGTTCTACTTTTAAAATGAGTAGTACTGTTTCAGCTGCTGGTGTCCCTACCAGCTCTGTTGCTGCTCATTGACTGTCCCTAATGATGAACGATATTTGGACTATTCTTAAATGTTCCATTAAAATTATCCTGTTACTCTCACTCACTTACGGAAGTGAAAACATGTTTTGGTTCTACTATTTCTACTGGACTAAATTGCTTTAAATTAAGGAAGCAACGTTTGATTTTAAGCAATCATGGAATGCTTTTTTTCAGGAATCTTCTTCTATGGAATAGTTCTGACGGAAGATGCGTCCAGAGCAGCACATCTCGGTACGTGCACACCCAGTTGAGTGTCCAGGTACGTGGTCCGAGATGGCGACACGGAGGTGTTTGCAGGGTGAGCACTGTAGGCAGTGGATTTTGGCGAAAGTGTGTCCGAGTTCCTGTTTTGTGCCGGCAGGTACTCAGAAATCGTAGCGATCAGTCCGAAGAATTTACAAGTTCTAGTAAGGTTCGCATCCAGAGTTGAACCGGATTGGATATCGGCTTTTTGCCTGTTCGGCACCAAGCAGAAATCAGGTAGCACCGAATTTGTCGCTCGCCTTTCCGCATTTGACTAGATTTGTGTATTTTTTTCTAGATGTAATCATTGGCGTAACCGTTGCCGGTTTGGTCAAGATATGGTCTCTGCAGAACGTCGCCGAAAATGTGAGTATGACGTTGATCATAAAATAATACTCCATTACTACTGTTGCCATCATCGTCAGTTTCATAACACGAGACCCTGATGAAAACATAGAAACCTAACAGTGTGTCGAATGAATGGACGACGTAGAGATGGACTTGAATTTAGGAGAGAAATATTGTTTCTTCTACTCTACAGTAAGCGGTACCGTAGATCGAAAATGTTGAAAAGCTAATAATGCAGTTGCAAAAAAAATACGCGCAGGACAGATCCTTGTATACATCTTATAAATGCCATTTATGTTTTGAAATAAATCGCAGTACGAAACTATTTCAGTTTAAACGAATATAATTATAAAATACGTTTAGATTTCAACGTATACATAATAAATGTACCATGAAGCCTTGGCTTGCTTATTCTTTTAGGAGTGAATGGCGACGCAGGCGGATCTATGATTGTACTGAATAGGCCCGGTACCACTGTCTTTCTGTAAAGCTCAGTTTTTGTTGTCAAAATGATGAAATTTCCTCATGTAGCGGACTCTGAGAGTAAAAGACTGTTAGATCTGTGTGAGGCAGGTTGATGATGTCTTGCAGTCTCCGTTCAGTGAAGGAGAAAAAACTACCATAAACAGCCGGCATAGTGGTCTTAGCCACGAGACCGTTACACAATCCTCTGGATCTCTCCCTTTTTTTATACATGACCGCAGGAGTGCTTCAGAATAGATGGAGAGACATAAGTGGTAACTGGCACTATATGACCATCTTGCAAATCGCCATCGCAAATCAAAAGGGGCTCCAAACAAGTGTGCAAACAAATCGCCTTCTATGGGACAAGAAACAGGGGCTGTGCAATGTTGCGTTATAACCCGATTTAACACCTTCCACCCGTTTTACAGTCGTTTTTATAAATAAAAAACTACTCCGTTTTCGTCGTGTAAATCCGGTAAAGTAAGTTCGATGTCATCATTTTACATTATGCAGCTATGTTCAAAATGACAGCAGTAGTAGATCTCTGTATGTTCCGACCAGGGACCACAAAGGCCTGTTGAGCTGCTTTGATCATGATGCCTACTACAGTCTGGATTCGCACAGTAGCGTTCAGTTAGAAAGTCATTGCAACTGTGTTACTTACAAGAGTGGTTAGTTAGTTTGCGAATTGATTCACGATGACTGTCTGCTGTCCCCTGAAATAATGTCATGTGTCAAATGAATTTGTGGTATGGTATAGACCGTCGTTCACAGTTCTGATTGTTCTACATGTTCATACAATATCTCATATTTGATAGATATAGTAGTTGTTTTTCGATGAAACTGTCAGTGCCTTATCAAGATAAGAACGACTGTCAT